ATGCATTGGCACAATCTCAGCTCATTGTAACTTCTGCCTCCTGGGTTCTAGTGATTCTCTTGCCTCAGCCTCCCCACTAGCTGGGACTAGAGGCATGTGCCACAACTCCTGACTAATTTTGTATTTTTTTTTTTTTTTTGGAGACGGAGTTTCGCTCTTGTTACCCAGGCTGGAGTGCAATGGCGCGGTCTCGGCTCACCGCAACCTCCACCTCCTGGGTTCAGGCAATTCTCCTGCCTCAGCCTCCTGAGTAGCTGGGACTACAGGCACGCGCCACCATGCCCAGCTAATTTTTTTGTATTTTTAGTAGAGACGGGGTTTCACCATGTTGACCAGGATGGTCTCGATCTCTTGACCTCGTGATCCACCCGCCTCGGCCTCCCAAAGTGCTGGGATTACAGGCTTGAGCCACTGCGCCCGGCTAATTTTGTATTTTTAATAGAGACAGGGTTTCTCCATGTTGGCCAGGCTGGTCTCAAACTCCTGATCTCAGGTGATCTGCCTGCCTTGGCCTCCCAAAATGCTGGCATTATAGGCATGAGCCACCATGCCCAGCTTTCTTTTTCTTTTTTAATTGCTGGTGGCAACCCATTAAATTGATTTTACATCTCACTAATAGGCAGACCCTACAATTGAAAAAGTGTTTGGGCAGCCACAGTAGCACACGTCTGTAATCCCAGAACTTTGGGAGGCCAAGGTGGGCAGATCATGAGGTCAGGGGTTCAAAACCAGCCTGGCCAATATGGTGAAACCCTGTCTCTACCAAACATACAAAAAAAAAGCTAATTTTTGTATTTTTAGTACATATGGGGTTTCAACATGTTGACCAGGCTAGTCTCAAACTCCTAACCTTAAGTGATCTGCCTGCCTCAGCCTCCCAAAGTGCTAGGATTACAGGCATGAGCCACATGCCCAGTGCAGTTAATTCTCTAAAAGCAGGTTTTGCAAGTGTACTAAGTTGGTGTGAGGTACTGACTGGGATCTCTACTAGATTCTGGGAGTTACCAGATATAGTAGGCATAAGAGCAGCACTGTTGAGACCCATGGCTCTAATTTTCCTTTGAGCCAAGTTTTGAGAAGACAATATTTTAGGCAGCAGTATCCCCAGGTTTTCCAGTGGTGGGAAAAGTCAAGCTGATTTAGGTTTCACAAGTACCAGCTATGAGAAGAGGTCTGGGAGTAAGGCCGAGTTGAAAAGTTAGTCTATGAGCAGCAACCATCCCTTCCCTTTGCCTTTCGTATGGGGGAGGAGATTTGACATTAGTACTTTCCTTCCCTTTTTACAAGACTGAGGGCCAAGCTAAAGGACCTGCCAACACTTCATTTTCCTGAGACAAGGAGAAAGAAGCATGATTTAAGGAGTGAGGCAAGAGAGAGGGAGTGCCTGGAGAAGAGCCGACATTCCCATCACTTAGTGTAAGAATATACGTGTTTCTGGCATGGTGGCTCAAGCCCAGCACTTTGGGAGGCGAAGGCAGGCAGATTGCCTGAAGTCAGGAGTTCAAGACTAGCCTGGCCAACATGGTGAAACCCCATCTCTACTAAAAATACAAAAATTATCCAGGTATGGTGCTGCCCATCTGTAATCCCAGCTGCTCGGGAGGTTGAGGCAGGAGAATAGCTTGAAACCAGGAGGTGGAGGACCTGCGGTGAACCAAGATCACACCCCTGCATTCCAGCCTGGGTGACAGAGTGAAACTCTGTCTCAAATTTAAAAAAAGCATAAGTGGAAAACAAAAACCTCCGCAAAAGGAAACATTAATCAAAAAGAGACTGAAAAGGACCAAAAAATCCAATCCTTTAGATATAAAGAACTAAATTCATTTGATAGAAATATATTTTAAAAGTAAGAGACTCTAGGTATCCAAGGTACCAAAAGAAAAGAAGGCCAAAAGGAAAACAAAGTGGCCATGGACCCTATTGTTCTAAAGACAAGATTGTAGGGGAAAATCGTAATATCTTTTCCTCACCCATTGCAAGGTTCACGACTGACACCCCTCATAAAAGACAGATTAACAAGAGAAAACCTATAAAAATTTATTTAATATAAATTTTTAAATATAAATTTATTTAAATTTTAAAAATTTTATTTAAATTTTCAAAAATTTATTTAATATAAATTTTACATGGCACAAGAGCCATCAGAAATGAAGACTCAAAAATCCAGAAAAAAAATATGTATATTTATGGACAATCATGCAGAGGACAAAAGGGTATGACCTAATGGTATTAAACTTGGGGAGCTGGCCAGGCATGGTGGCTCACGCCTATCTGTAATCCCAGCACTTTTGGAGGCTGAGGCAGGTGGATCACCTGAGGTCTGGAGTTTGAGACCAGCCTGGCCAAAATGGCAAAATTCCATCTCTACTAAAAATACAAAAATTAGCTGGGTTTGGTGGCACATGCCTATAATCCCAGCTACTCAGGAGGCTGAGGCAGAAGAATCGCTTGAACTGGGGAGGCGGAGGTTGCAGTGAGCCAAGATTGTGCCATTGCATTCCATCCTGGGTGGCAGAGTAAGATCCCATCTCAGAAAGAAAAGTACATAAATACATAAATAAACAAACAAACAAACTTGGGGGAATAAGGCCAATTTGTTCAGATTCTTCTTGGCCTCTGGGTATAGAGCAGGCTCCCTCTGAAATGAGGGTCTTCACACCTACTTTCAAGAGAGGCAGGTCAGAGAACTCTTTTATGGCCTGCTTCAACACTGCTTCTGCAGTGTTCTTAATTTCCTTTAACTTAAAATGCGCAGTGAGCCAAGGCGCCACATTTTGGGGTGTCATGTTCTGAGCCCCAACAAGACCAAGAATTAGTAAATCCTCTATGTAAGAAAGGCAAAGAGCATGGGCTTTGGTCAGATATTCAGCCTAATAGGAACTTTTTTACTTTTTCAGATGGCCGTTATAACCATCCCAGTGACAAAGATCTAGCTTTTGTCAAATTATGCAGTTCAGCTTGCCCTTGGGTTATCCAACAAGCTGGTCTACAATACTGACCAGAGACAAAGCTGGAAAGTGAATGCTGGCCCAAAAAAAGCTGCTGGCCAATGGAAATTCTCCACCCAGAGACCACATGATCTTCAAGTAGGTGTTAATACTGCCATCACCTAAGTGGAGAACAAGAATAGTCAGTAATGGTGACTGCACATTAGAGGAGACCCCTTGATCTAAATTTAGTACTGCTCTCCTTGTCCATAAAATCAGGTTTTCCTACTACATCATCAAGGGAAAGGATAGATCAGGTCACAGGCCCAATCTTGTCTGATCTCAGAAGCTAAACAGGGTTGGGCCTGGTTAGTACTTGGATGGGAGACTGTCTGGGACTATCGGGTGCTGTAGGCTTTTAAAAAATAAATTAATTAAATAAAATAATAATAATAAAAAAGATCAGGTCACAGAATGATCTACCTCAGTCTCACTTTCATATGGCTTAACTAGAAAATAGTGGTATGCTGGCTGAGCTGGTAGAGTCCATCAGAACTAACTAAAGTGATAACTATGATAAGATCTGACATCACTGGGAGACAATGACTTAGGTCCAAATTCTGTAATTCACAATGCCAAATTGGAAAAGAAAAAGGCTCAAGAGCTTGCCACAAACTAGTTTAAATACACTCCGTTAACTTCCCTGTAAATAAAAATAAAACATCCCCTTAAAACAAAAAGCTATTGAAGCATAGAAACCAGGAAATAAAAACTAGGATGTGACTTCCTATCCTATCCCAAAGAAAGGTAATAAAATAAAACCACATTCACACACAAAATCTTTGGAATATTTGGGACCTCATTAAAAATGAATGTTTAATTTCTAAAGGTTGCAGAATCCATTTTCTTATGTTCTAAGGAGTCAGGCAGCAGCAGTAGTATACTTCTTATTCTGTGCTATTGATTCTAACAGGAGTCAACTACCAGGACTAGATAAATCTGACTTTTCTCAGTATCATAAACCATTAAAAAAAATTTGTGTAGACTTTGTGGATGGATTATTGCTGGCCTGGAGAAAGCAGCTCTCATTGTCAAGATGATTTTATCAGCAAGTTTGTGTGTGTCAAATCCTAGAACCAACTTAAATTGGCTTTAAATTTTGTTTTAAATTGCTATCTCATACAAAAAGAAATAGGGAAGCAAGGCAGTTCAGGCACTGGCTACTTCAAGGGCTCAACAATGTCATAAGGCATCTGTTTTTCTATCCTCTGTGCTGCCATCCTCAGTATACTTTGTTTTGTTTGTTTGTTTTTGAGATGAAGCCTCACTCTGTCACCTAGGCTGGAGTGCAGTGGCATGATCTCAGCTCACTGTAACCTCCACCTCCCAGGTTCAAGCAATTCTCCTGCCTTAGCCTCCCAAGTAGCTCACACCAAGATATTACAGGTGTGAGCCACCACATCTGGCTAATTTTGTATTTTTAGTAGAGATAGGGTTTCACCATGTTGGCCAGGCTGGTCATTGATCTCAAACTCCTGACCTCAAGTGATCTGTCTGCCTCAGCCTCCCAAAGTGCTGGGATTACAGGTGTGAGCCATTTTGCCCAGCTAGTACATTGTTTTTGTCCTCTGGATTAGCCTCCTCATCTAACATCAGGTAGAAATTAGCCATTCTTTATTACAAGGAATGGTCTAAGAGGCGCAGCCCCCAAATTCGCAAGCAATTAGAAAGCAGTTAGAAGAAAAAAAGCCACTTTAGACATAAAGCATAAAGAATTCCTTTATTATAAATAATGAAAGGTAATAAAACTGGAAAAAATAAACATATATCTTCTTTAAACAAAAATTCAATATGGCAATACAAAAATTAGCCAGGCATTGTAGCGCATACTTGTAATTCCAGCTACTTGGGAGGCTGAGGAAGGAGAATCACTTGAACCCAGGAGGCGGAGGTTGCAGTGAGCAGAGATCGCACCACTGCACTCCAGCCTGGGCGACAACAAGAAAAACTCCATCTCCAAAAATAAAAAAAAATTCAATATGGCTGCCAAAATAACTAAAAACAACACAGTGGTCAAGAATTAAACTTTCTCTTTGCACATTAGCACTACATATATAAATCATTCAGCCTAGTAACTTCTTATAAAGTGTTTCATTTTCCCTAAAAACATATTACATTAATTATAATTTGTTTAAATTAATTCTGACGTTATACTTATAATAATCATCTCTTTTTAATACTTAAATACCATTAGACTAATACTTTGATCAGCTGGTAAAACTTCCATTCTGAGTCAATGAAAAACGTCCATATACTTACATATTTTACTCTTTGGAGAAGGTTACCTCTAGATCTCTTGAATATTTCACCCTTTTCTACGAAAGTGTATGCGACTTACAAGTTCTCTGAACTTCAATATTAAGGAGTAGTTGTTCATGTTGTCTTTCCATATTTCATAAGTCCTTCTAAGTTTGTCATAATACCTTTCTTTTTTCAAATTGAAATCTGATCCTGTTGTTTTTGAAAAACTGTCCCTTTTCCATATTTCTCTCCAGGAATCTTTGAATTTTTCCAGATAACTTTCTTTTTCAGAGTCTTCCTTCCATATTCCTTCTCCTTTTTTTACGGCTGCTAATTCAGCTTTAAGTAAGTTTCTGTGAATTGTCCAATAGATTTTAGAATCATATTTAAGCCCTTTAACAAGAACAGTTTTGCCAAGGCCTCTTCTCAAAATTTCTTCATTCAGATTCACATTGAAATATCTACCCTTGAATTTAAAAATAATACAAACCAATTATTTAAGATAAATGTTGTTATACCCATCACACATTTACCTCAAAAATCAGTCATTCAGCAATTTTAGTCCTCCAAAGAAAAGGCAAAAATGGTCCCCAAGGGTCCCCAAAAACAGCTCTTGCTAAATATAAGGATTTTTATTACTAGAAGACATCCTTGCTCAAAATCAGGTGACTCTTTTATAACATGGAATTCTCCACAGACTCACTGTTCTCCTAACCTGAAGAGGTGAGGAAGTAATAAAGTACAAAAAGTGTGTTTTTGGTCTGTTCTTGGTTCTGTGGAGCGGAGGTGGGACACACAAGATAGCCACAGTGACAGCAGGTCACAGAAAAGAAACTAAGAGATAAAGAGAAACTAAAAGTAGCCAGATGCAAAATGAATCATCACTGAACTGTTAAATTAGGTTCAGAATTCCAGTGTTTTGGACAGCATTGGCACATAAATACATTTTTAAAAGACTTTCCTCAAAGTAATTAACATAGTCTTGGCCATTGAGTCTTCCTCCTACAGGAAATTTCATTCATGGAATACCTCACTTCTCAATGAAACCAGATAAATGGGATTTTTTTTTTTTCACTAATTCACTGTATAAAGGAGATCTTGCCTAGATATTTCTTCAATGCTTGTGGGATTTTTTTTTTTTTTTAAAGACAGGTTTTCACCATGTTGGTCAGGCTGGTCTTGAACTCCCAACTTCAGGTGATCTGCCCACCTTGGCCTCCAAAGTGCCTGGATTACAGGTGTGAGCCACCACGCCCGGCCCCTTGTGGGATTTTAATCTTTTTGTTCTTTTAAAGATTAAATCCCCCTTGTGGGATTTTAATCTTTTTTTGTAAGACTTTGTTCCTTCAAATTCAGAAAATTTTAGTACATGATAAGGACTTAGCAAATAACAGTTATAAAGCAATTATATTTTTCTAAATCTTTCAAATCTTATAAGCTCATTCCCTTGAACCAAACTCATAATAATTAAAATTCAACCTCACATTAGCAAAATTCAAACCAGAGAAGTAAATTATCACTCTATGTGTATAGCATAGTTTGGTGGCTTAGGAAGCAAGATAAAACAAAGATATGCTTATAAGATGAAATGTAGGCTCAGGATCCAGGAAGAGTTGGGCTTGGATACAAGCTCTTCTTCCTGGATACCCTGACCAAGACAATCAGTTTCCCTAAAAGTGCCACCTGAAAGTGGGAATAAAAGCAATAACTCTGTAAAATGGTTCTGAAGATAAATGGCATCAATATGAGCATGGCACCTAGCTCAGTGCGCATATGTTGACCCTCAAAATACACATAATTGCTATCTTTATCATCATGATAATCATCTCCTTTTTTGGTAATTATACTCTTCAACTTAAAAGCTGATATTTTTATAGGCCTTTGGGATGTTTTCTACAACTTCATATTAACTACCTTTGTTTTTGGGTTTTTTTTTTTGAAACAAGGTCTCACTCTGTCACCCAGGCTGGAGTGCAGTGGTACGATCTCGGCTCACTGCAACCTCAGCCTCTAGGGTTCAAGTGATTCTCTTGTCTCAGCCTCCTGAGTAGCTGAGATTACAGGTGTCCACATCCATGTCCAGCTAATTTTTGTATTTTTAGTAGTGACAGGGTTTCACCAAGTTGGCCAGGCTGGTCTCGAACTCCTCACCTCAAATGATCTGCCGGCCTCAGCCTCATAAAGTGCTGGGATTACAGGCATGAGCCACTGTGCCCAGCCTTTATTAAGTTACTTTTTTTTTTTTTTTGAGACAGAGTTTTGCTCTTGTTGCCCAAGCTGAAGTGCAATATGGCACCATCTCAGCTCACTGCAAACTCCGCCTCCCGGGTTCAAGCAATTCTCCTGCCTCAGCCTCCCATATTAACTTACTTTTAAAATATAAGATATTTCAATTAGTTTTTAGATAATTCTTATTTTGAAAGTACTGAATATCATCTGGATAAGCAGAAATTAATGAATTTCATTAAGATTTCTATTAATAATTCAAAACGCTTTTAAGAATTAAAACGGTTAAGTTTCTAATCATCTTATTTTATTTAAAAGACAGGTCTTACTCTGTCACCCAGGTTGCAGTACAGTGGTGTGATCATAGCTCACTGCAGTCTTGACTGTGTAGGCTGAAGCATTCCTCCCATCTCAGCCTCCTGAGCTGCTGGGATTACAGACACAAGCGACTGCACCCAGCTCATAAGTATAATTTTAAGAGCTGAATATCAGAAAAGTGGTCAAGGTATGAAAACCTATCTGATGGCCCACCAAAGAAATCTGGAGTAAGGCACATCCAGGGGTTCAGGACAGCGATTCAGCAACAAAGATGAAACTGTCATTTCCAGTTATACAATGGCTATGGCCAATCATAAAGGTTAAGAAAAGTCTGAGTCGGGCCGGGCGCGGTGGCTCAAGCCTGTAATCCCAGCACTTTGGGAGGCCGAGGCGGGTAGATCACGAGGTCAAGAGATCGAGACCATCCTGGTCAACATGGTGAAACCCCGCCTCTACTAAAATACAAAAAGTTAGCTGGGCATGGTGGCGCGTGCCTGTAATCCCAGCTACTCAGGAGGCTGAGGCAGGAGAATTGCCTGAACCCAGGCTGGAGTGCA